CTTCTTTGTCTTTGACTGGTCTCTCTGGTTTACTGTATTTCCCTGCAAGCTTCTTCGTCGTATCGTAAAGCTGTCTCATATTTCCTTCTCTTGCAGCTTTTTCCGCCGTCTTTGCTAGTTCTTCCACGTATTTTTGCTTATCAGCTCTAATGCTCTTCTTCACTTTCTTGTTTGCTTCTATGTACTCTGCTTGTGCTTGGACTTTCTCTGCTCTTGTTCGACTGTTGTTAATTGCTGTCTTCTTGTTCTTTCTTTCTTTGATCCTGTCCAGTGTTTCTGTAGAGATCCATTCCTTGTGATGATGCTTCTTGGGGCCCAGAACCTCTTGACACGTTGAAGTTAATGTTTCTTTGATACCTTTCCAGCTATCCTCCATAGTAGTTTCTTCTTCCTTCAGTAGATCCTGTAAGGCTTGGAACCTGTTGTTGAGAGCTACCTTGAATTCATTGAGTTTGTCAGTATCTTGAAGGAAGGCTGTATTGAACCTTTGTGGTGCTGTTTGTCCAGTTGTCCAGTTCTTCTTTAGCTTCAGTTTCAATTTGGCCACAACCAGGTGATGATCTGAAGCTATGTCCGCTCCTCTCCTGGTTTTCACATCTTCCATTGTCCTTCGGAACTTTTTATTGATGCAAATGTGATCTATCTGGTTCTCTGTGGTGTGGTCCGGTGAGATCCACGTAGCTTTGTGTATACGTTTGTGTGGAAATGTTGTACCGCCTATGACCAATTTATTGAATGCACACAGATTTGAAAATCTTTCCCCGTTTTCGTTTCTCTCTCCCAGTCCATGTAGTCCCATGATGTCTTCATATCCGGTGTTGTCCATTCCGACTTTGGCGTTTAGATCTCCCATCAGAATGGTGAGGTCCTTTCTTGGGCACTTCTCTATGATTGATTGCAGCCTCTCATAGAATTGATCCTTAACGTCGTCGTTGCTATCATTGGTGGGTGCATAACATTGGATAATGTTCATTGTGATCCCCTCCTTCTTTGTTTTGAATGATGCTTTGATGATTCTGGATCCGTGAGATTCCCATCCTACAAGTGCATTTCGTGCTACTTTGGATAGCATTAGAGCAACTCCCTGAGTGTGTGGAGCATTTTCCTCTTCGTGAACGGAGTATAGCAGCATCTCTCCCGTATTTAGCCTTTGTTGTCCAGCTTGGGTCCAATGGGTTTCACTGATTCCCAGTACTGCCAAGTGATATCTCCTCATTTCCGTTGCTATTTGACTGGTCTTCCCGTTCTCCCACATTGTCCGGACGTTCCATGTACCTATAAAAATTGTTGCTCTGGTTGTTAGGAGGGGCATCGGCCTCGTGGCTTCCGAAGGAACTCGGCTTTCACCATGAAGCGTCATATTACCTCTAACTCCCAGGGCAGAGTTTAAATGGTTTGAGTTATTTTTTCTGGTTAACGTTTTTTTAGCGAGTTAGGTTTCTACGGGATGGGGACGCTAACCCCATGCCCAACCCTCCTCCTTTACCCGGGCTTTGGACCGGCAGTAACTCTGGAAGAGCTACAGGCGGAGTTGTATCCTTCAATGGTAAAGTAAAATTTAACAAAAACATAGTAAAAAACCATTCCTTCAAGACAATGTATAGTTAAACATTCCAGAAGGCACAAACTTTTTTTCGGGGGGGGGGTCGATATTTAAGGACTGAAAATAAATAAAAGATCAATATGCACACCCTGGTGGTGGCTTTTAAAAATTGCGACATTATATAATTAATTCCATCCCACAATACTTAGTGATTTAATTCATCGTTTTCCCTTCAGGGATTATTTAAACAAGAAAGAAAAATCGAACAAATTACTTTTGTCATTATCAGTAGATTCTGTAAGAAAAAGTCTATTTAATTATACTTTAAAGGGTATCAACAAAAATGCATATTTCCACCCCAAAAATCATGCATTTTTCTACATTACACATGAATAATTGTATTAACAAATGTATCAACTTTACTAAAGGAATGAATGATTTTTATCATCATAAATTTGATTTAAGTTGACAGCTTAACAACATGTTCATCATTATTTGAAGAAATTGATCATAATTCATTAATCAAGTGTTAGAGCTATTCTTAAATACTTCCTTAGTTACTTACGCCTATTAATCCTAATGGAGAATAGGCCACCGACCACCAATCTACAACCCACTCTGATCTCAGCCTTCCAGTTTAGTTCCATCCAATTCTTGTTCATTTCTCTCATGTCTATCTCTATTTCCCAACGTAACATGTTCTTCGGTCTTCTTCTTCACCCACTTTGGTCGTGAAGATTCCATATGAGAGCTTGTCTTGTGATTCAGTTTGGTGTTTTCCTCAATGTGTGTCCTATCCACTACCACCGCTTATTTCTGATTTCCTCCTCCATTGGGATCTGATTTGTTCTTTTCCATAATAGGTTGTCAATGTCTAATAGTGTCTGGTCAACAGATCCGAAGTATTTTGTTTAGACAACTGTTAATAAACACTTGTATGTTCTGGATAATGACTTTTGTGGTTTTTCAGGTTTCGGCCCCATACAGTAGAACTGTGTTGATATTTGTATTGAAAATTTTTACTTTGGTGTTGGTTTCCAATTCTCAAATACAATTCAGAATTATCATCCCTTAACTTCTTTTCATAATTACTATTATTAAGTATCAGAAGGGGTTGTGTGGAGATTTCAGACATTTCACTGGATGAAATCATGAGTCAATTGAAGCTGAACCACCACCATAGAAAACCTGGAGGCACTGGACAACCGTTTCCTCCTAGTATGGGACTCCTGAGCAGTGCGCATCCGTGATCCTGCTCCCCCCTCAGCGAGATTCGAACATAGGACCTATTAGGCTCGCACTAGGCGCTTAATCCACTAGACCACTGAACAGGCCGATCTCCAACGGTGTTAATATCTAACCTCAACCAACCCACGACATTGCGCCACCGTACACCATTGTCTTCAGTGAGCTGATATCTCACAACAGACCTGGTTGAACTCTACTGGTCACTACTCCTCACTAGAACTCCAGGAGGATCTCTTGAAGTCAGTCACTAGAGAGAAGATTATTATCAGAAGGGGTTCTGTGGAGAGTTGGTAATTTCAACAGTTAAAGCGCCTGGCGTGAAAATGATAGGTCCTGGGTTCGAATCCCGCGGGGTGAGATCGTGGATGAGCACTGCTGAGGAGTCCCATACTAGGACGAAACGGCTGTCCAGTGTTTCTAGGTTCTTTCCATGGTGGTGGTCTAGCTTCAATTGACTCATGATTTCAAGTATTGAAATTATCAATTCTCCACAAAACCTTTTCCAATAATAAAGTATAGCTATGAATTAAACTCTATGACTGTGATACTGAATAATATTTCTTTGAATCCAGTGGGAAGATTCAATTCCACTTGTACTGTAGATCATCTTTATGATGAGTGACAGTTTAAAAAAAATCCAGATCTATATCGTTCTGGTGATTGATTCCAAACATCTAATACATTAATATAACTACTCACCATTTTATTTTACAATGAAATCACTTTCAAGAACCTTCTTATCAATGTAAATCAATTATAAAATCATATAATTTATGTAGGTAAGATAGGTACTCGAAACCCTTCTTTATTTCAATGATCTATGAGATATAGAATAGGATGATATAATTGAATATTATTAATATACACAACAACGTCAATAAATGAACATTTAACATGATAATATGATTAGAATAATGTATAGTAATGGTTAAGTATACATAATAACTTACTTACTTACTTACCTACTTACGCCTGTTACTCTTCGTGAAGGAGCATACTCCACTCACCAGCAGTCTCCATCCAACACTATCCCAAGCAATCCTTTCCACCTCTTAACAGTTCTTATTCATCCCTTTCATATCCGCTTCTATTTCCCCACGTAATGTGTTCCTTGACCTTCCTCTTTTCCAATTCCCTTCAGGATTCCAAGTTAGCAATTGTCTCGTGATGCACTTTGATGATTTGTGTAATGTATGAATTATCCATTTCCATCGTCTTTTCCTAATTTCCTCTTCAGTTGGAAGTTGGTAGGTTCTCTCGCACAGTAGGCTGTTACTGATTGCATCCGGTCAATGGATGTTGAGTATCTTGCTTGGACAGCTATTGATAAATACTTGTACCTTCTTGATGATGGTGGTTGTTGTAGTTCTTCACATTTCAGCTCCGTACAGTGGAACTGACTGCCTCGATGTTCGTATTGTAGATTGTGAATTTGATATTGGTTGACAGATAGATGTTTTGAGTTTCATATGTTCTTCAATTGAAGGAATGCTGTCCTTGTTTTGCCAATCCTCACCTTTACATCTTCATCTGAATCTCCTTGTTCATCGATGATGTTTCCCAGATATGTGAACGATTCTACATCTTCCAGAGTTTCTCTATCAACAGTGATTAGATTGTTGTTCTCCATGTTAAATTTCAGGACCATGGTTGTTCTATATATATAATAAATTTAAATATGATATGCATTAGTTTTATTGAATAACTTTCAATTTTTCTGTGTTTTTTTTTTATTCATTTTAGCATTTCTATCAAGAATTTTTAAAACATTCGAAATTTGGATAAACCTTTTGATCAATAAATAAACAATTTTCTATCTAAAAAGAAAAATAAATATGTGTTGCCATGTAAAAATATAAAAAATTTTTAAAAAAAATTAAAAAAAATAGTAATTCAATCAATTATTATTGTTCCTAATATGATTTATATAGATAATCAATATGATTCAACGTAATGATTTTCACTACAAACAAGGTTGATAAACCATTCAACCAACCAGTAGAACAACAACAACAACAACATAAATATCCTATAAAACTTTTATATACTATTACTATAATTCAACAAAATACATATCAAATATATCAAAAAAATTTTATTCATTATAAAAAAATTTCTTATTCTAAATTGTTTCTATGTCAATTATTTTGTGTTTTTATATTATCAATCATACATATTGATTGTACAATTATTGTACATTTGGAAATGTATGAAGAACAACCACCACAACCACCACCCACCACCACCACCACCATCACCACCACCATCATCATCATCATCACCACCACAACAACAACCACAGCAACAAAATACAACAACAACAACACCTCCACCAACATATATTGGAGTTTTAATTAATTATATTCCTAATTCTATTATTACAAAATATAATCATTTATTATTTAGATTAATTAATAAAGATCATGCTTATTTATTTAATGTAACACCAGAAGATGGTAAAATTTATGTTATTGAAAGAATTGATCGTGAAAAATTATGTCCATATAATGAATTAAATAATGATCATAATGATTTTATTCAAATATCATCCAATGTACAAATGAAACAAAAATCAATATTCAATATATCTTATTTACATGATTGTCGTTTAACATTTAGTGTAAGTTTAATGATAATCAATAATAATAGAATCGATATTATTGAAGTAATTCGTGTTTATATTACTATACATGATATTGATGATAATCATTGTCAATTTATACCGAATTCTAAACAAATTATTTCTATACCTGAAAATATAAAACCATATACTCATTTGAATATACCATTATATCAACCAATAGATATAGATGCTCATCCCGATCATACTATTAGTTTAGATCATATATTTTTATATGAAAAAAATGTAACTACTCAAATCAATTCATCAATAGTATTTCAATCAAATAAATTGAATTTACCATTTGAATTAATGATTTATCCAACTAATTCATTAATTAAACCATATTTATTATATCTTTATATTATAAAATCATTAGATTATGAAACAATCAATGAATATCATTTATTGATTGAAGCAAATAGTAAATATGGTAGATCAGATCATAAATGTTATCTTGAATTAACTGTTATCATAGAAGATTGTAATGATTATAAACCATATTTTACAATTAATTATACAGAAATTAATATTACTGAAAATTTTAATATAGCATTACCTATTTATACATTTACAGCAATTGATTTAGATTTAGGTAATAGATATAGTAAAATTATATATGAATTAGATTTATTAAAAGCATCAGATTTAATTAAAACAACATTTTATATTCATTCTAATAATGGTTCTATCTATCTTAAACATAAACTTAATTATAAATTATGTTCTATGTATAGTATACCAATTATTGCAAGAAATCCATATTATCATGAAATGAATTATACAAAACAATCAATCCATCATCACAATCATAATCATAATCATAACCATAGTACATTCAATGAAGATCATTCTATTTCTTTAAATCCTATACATGTTGATCAAGAAGATTATTATTCAACGGCAATATTAATTGTAAATGTAATTGATATCAATGATCATTCACCTATCATAACAGTTCAATCTCTTGATGGGAATACAACATTAAGTATTATTGAAAATTCAATGAATTTACCATTAGATTTTGCTATACTTTCAGTTACTGATGATGATAATGGTTTAAATGGTAAAATTACATGTAATCTTCATAAAAACTATACAAATCTATTTAAATTAACATCCATTATTAATAGTAATAATAATAATAATAATAATAATAATATAGAAACATGGACTAATGTTACTAATAGTAACATATCCAATGATAATAATAATAATAATAATAATAATAATGGTGAATTATGGTCATCATCAGAAATGATTTATAAATTATCAGCTATTGTATCATTTGATCGTGAACAAATTGATTCAATTGAATTAATTATTGAATGTTATGATTATGGTAAACCATCTTTAATAACCAATAAAATAATATCGATTGAAATTATTGATCAAAATGATCATAAACCAATATTTAATACAACAGAATTACAATTAATTATTATAGAAGATAGTGATCCTAAAAGAAAAGAAAATCATTATGATATTATAAAACTGATAGCAATAGATCAAGATATAGGTATAAATAGTATTATAAAATATTATATTATGAATAATGATACTATTCATAATTATTTTTATATTAATGAATTAACTGGACTTATACAATCAAAAGGTAATTTAGATCGTGAATTATGTGATTATTATGAATTTACAGTGATTGCATATGATTGTGGTCAACCATCTTTATCAAATTCAATTAATATAAAAATTATTATACATGATTATAATGATGAACAACCGATATTTACAAAACAAATATATGAATATTATATTCATGAAAATAATCAATTAAATCAATATATTGGTAGTATTATATGTTCAGATAATGATTTAGATAATAATGGATTAATTGATTTTGAAATAGAATCAATACCTTATCAACAATATAATCATAATTATAATCATAATGATTTATCATTATATATACCTTTATTATCAAATGTAACTAATGAAAATGTAATGAATACAACAATTAAATTCTATTTACCATTTTATTTACTTAGTTACTATGATATACAAAAACATATTTATTTAGTGAAAATCTATGCAAATAATAAAATTGATCGGGAAAAATTAAAAGAAACTATAAATATACAAAAATCATTTACATCTTTATCTCAATCATCATCTTCATCATCATCATTATCATCATCATCATCATCATTATTATTATCGAAATCTTCTCAAATAAAAAGTAAAATTTTTAATGAAATTAATAAACCAGATATTGTTTTATATAAATTTTGGATTGTTGCTAAAGATCATGGTGAACCACAACAACATAGTCGTTCATTAATACATATTATTATTGAAGATGAAAATGATAATGAACCATATTTTATTATACCAAAACAAAATCATACGATTATTGAATTATCATATTTAGAAATAATACGATATCCAATTATTAAAGTGAGTATTTCTTGTTGTTGTTGTTGTCATTTTCTCGTTATATGATTCCATGGAAAAGTTGGAAGCAGTGGATGACTGTTTTGTCCTATTGTGAAACTCCTCAGCAGTGGGCATCCACAATCTCACCCCCCTACAAGATTCGAACCGAATAATATATTATGAAAATAGTTATCGACTATATATGTATAGAATTATTCTAAGTTAAATAGTTTATATTAAAAACAAATTTCACACCACCTGGATGAAATAAAACTATACCTTTAACACAATACCAATGAGAATGTAGTTAGTGTATGCTTCCAATTCTCGAAGCAGTCTGCTCTTCAATCTTCCTATTTTTCGCTTCCATTCAGGACTCCGAGGTAGAGCTTCCGTTCTGATGCAGTTTGATGAATTCCATACTGTATGTTCTATCCACTTTCAAAGTCTTTTCTACTCTTCAGCTGGAAGCTGGTTTGTCCTCTTTCATATTACGCTGTTGTTGATGATATCCGGCCAACGGATATTGAGTATCGTGCATACACAACTATTTATCAATACTTGTTTCTTCTTGATGACGATTGTTCTCCAAATTTTACTTCCGTACAGTAGAACTGCTTTCACGTTCATAGTAAACATTCTGACTTTGATATTCGTTAGCAGTTGTTTTAAGTTTTATATGTTCTTCAAATGAAGGAATGTGACCCTTGCTTTGCCAATTCTCGCTTTTACGTCTGCATCGAATCCGCCTTGTTTTCATTGATGATGCAGATCATATTATGTACTGAAAGTTTTCACCTGTTCCAGAGTTCCTCCATCAAGTATGATTGGTTTGGTTGGTGTTTTCTGTATTCTATTTCAGGATCTTGAGTTTTTCGCTGTGTATATTGAGGCCCATTGATTCAGAGTCGAACCATTCTAATATTATGAAATGTTGTTGATTCTTACAAGCCTAGAATATAGTTAGTTTACTTATTATTACTTGTATGAAGTGATAAATACTTGATTTAGATGAAGTTCAAAATCATTAAATTAGTTGATTACTAACAAATTTCCTTCTATACTACTGATAGATAAGAAAAATAAGTTGATATAGTGGATAGATACAATCGCAGTGATGATAAGATTTGATCATGTTTCAATGACTAGTATTTAGTGAATCTCTTTAGAATATGTTCTATATACATTCATATCATTAAACAAATGAATCAATCTGTTAAAATCTTTAAGTGGAACACTTCATAACTCATAAAAGTCAATCAAAAACAAATAAACCTATATGATAATGAAGAAGTTATGATTATATGTTATTTTGTTTTGTTTAATTCTATTTTTCTGTGTATTTGAATAAATCTTTAACCGTATCATTTGTGAGACAGTAATTCACTGATGTTCTGTCAAAAACGCAACAATAGATGCAGGAGAAGACGAACAGTATAGCAGCAGCCTCAGCAGAAGCAGCACCACCAGTAGGTCTCAATATACACAAAGGGAAAAACAAGATTCTCCGATTCAACACAACATGCACCAATCCAGTCATAATTGACAGAAGATTTGGAAGATATACAAACCTTTACATATTTGGGCAGCATCATTGATGTCAACAGGGTGGATTTGATGCAGATGTGAAGGCGTGGATCGACAAAGTAAGAGCAGCATATTTACAACTAAAGAACAACTGGAACTCAAAACAATTGTCCACAAGTCAACACGAAAGTCAGAATTTTCAATACAAACGTTAAGACGGTTCTACTGTATGGGGCCGAAACCTGGAAAACCATGAAAGCCATTATCCAGAAGATACAGGTGTTTATGAATAACAGTTGTCTACACAAAATACTTCGGATCAGTTGGCCGGACACTATTAGACATTGACAACCTAATGTGGGACAGAACAAATCACATCCCAGTGGAGGAACAAAATCAGGAAGAAGTGGTGGGACTGGATAGGACACACATTGCGGAAAGCACCGAACTGCATCACAAGGCAAGCCCTCACACGGAATCCTCAAGACTAAAAGGGGTGAAGAGGTAGACCAAAGAACACATTACGCCGGTAAATGGAGATAGACATGACAAAAATGAAGAAGAATTGAATGGAACTAGAGTGGAAGGCTGATGACAGAGTGTGTTGGAGAATGCTGGTCAGCGACCTATTCTCCATTGTGAGTAACAGGCGTAAGTAAGTAACTCACTGATGACAATGTTGGATGTGTTGCTCGATTTCGTGCATTGGTTAAAGTTAGACATTAGCACTGTTGGATACCGGCTTAGTGGCCTAGTGGTTAAGCGCCCACACGCAAGACTGATAGGACCTTTGTTCGAATCTCACAGGGAGTGAGATCGTGGATGCGCACTGCTGAGGAGTCCTACAATAGGATAAAATGGTCATCCAGTGCTTTCAGGTTTTTCATGGTGGTGATCTAGCTTCAATTGACTCATGATCTTAAAACCATTGAAATTTTATAAAAATTAAATTGAAAATAAATAAACTAAAATGAAATTTATAATTATTCAATTAAATAATACGAACAATCTATTTTAATTATTGTAGTTAACTTAAATGGTTCTTGTTATTATGGTCATCATCATCATCATCATCATCATCATCATCATCATCATCATCATCCAAAGCACCATAATCATAATCATCATCAAAACAAATGAATATATTGTAGTTTCTTTTAGAGAGGGAAAAAAACCCACTTAAATCCACCACCATCACCACCACCATCACCACCACCACCACCAACAACAACAACAACAACAAAAATTTAAAAAAAAACTAAAAATAAACAAAATATTTACCAATTTAATTTAATATTTGAACTGAAACCCATAAAATTAAAAAAAAGAATAAAAAAAAAAAAAAATGATTATAACTTTATATGAATTAAGAATACGTGAATGAATCATATATTGGAGGGGTAGGGAAGGGAAATAATTCAAATTCATATGTGTAACATTATATAATGAGGTCATCATGGAATGATGAGATTTTTTTTTCTTATTTTTAAATTAAGGTGTATTTTTTTTTGTTGTTGAAAAACCAATTTTTGTTTTGTACCAGGTCAATAAAAGAAAAAACTCTCACATAAATTGATGTTTAAAAAAAATGTTCTTCAAGGTTAATCTTAAAATGAATATGTTATTGACAGTTTTGTTTGTTTGGTTGTTTATTTTCTTTTTTTTGTTTTTCTTTTTTTAGTTTATTCTTTATAAAAATGATTTGATTCAATTTTTTTTAGAAAAAAAAAAGAATAATAATTATAATATTTAGTTTATTTGACCTGTTAAAGCTTTATAATGATTTTATTAAAATAATATTATTAATTTGGGAACAAATTACTTAGTAATTCATGTTTAGGGTGTATGAGAAAATTTGATATTATAGATCATTCGTAGGTCGGATACCATCAGCAAAAGCCTTCGGTGGGAGAGAACCAACCAGCTTCCAGTTGAAGAGGAAATTAGGAAAAGATGATGGAAATAGATAGTTTATACATTGAGGAAATCATCAAATTGCATCACGAGAAAATTGATAACTTGGAATCCTGAAGGGAAGAGGAAAAGAGGAAGGTGAAAGAACACATTACGTCGGGAGATAGAAGCGGATATGAAAGGGATGAATAAAAACTGTTAAGAGGTGGAAAGGATTGCCCAGTACAGAATTGGATGGAGAATGCTGGTGAGTGGCCTATGCTCCTTCACGAGGAGTAACAGGCGTAAGTAAGTAAGTAAGTAAGTAAGTAAGATCATTCGTATAGGATTGAATAATTAAAAACAAAAATAAACAAAAGCGAGAAAAGCGAAAATAATGTCGATTAGTTAACTCAAATTTCATAGATTGAAATGAAAAAAAAGGTTTAAAAACAACAAGCATGTTGTTTTCTATGTTGTTGATATGATATGACAACTAGTGTTTATTGTAAATTTAGAGGAAAACTAAGGTCTTCAAATATAACACGGAGAACACCAATCCAATCAGTGTTGATGGCAGATGTAGGATCCTTCACATATCTGGGAAGCATCATCGATGAACAAGGAGGACCAGATGAAGGTGAGGATTGGCAAAGCAAGGACCGAATTCCTTCAATTGAAGAACATATGAAACTCAAAACAACTATCTGTCAACCAATATCAAATTCAGAATCTTCAATTCGAACGTCAAGACAGTCAGTTCTACTGTACGGAGCTGAAATGTGGAGAACTACAACCACCACCATCATCAAGAATGTGCGAGTATTTATCAATAGCTATCTACACAAGATACTCAACATCCACTGGCCGGATACCATCAGCAACAGCCTTCGGTGGGAGAGGACAAACCAGCTTCCAGTTGAAGAGGAAATGAGGAAAAGACGATGGAAATGGATAGTTCATGCATTATGGAAATCATCAAATTGCATCACGAGAAAATTGATAACTTGGAATCCTGAAGGGAAATGGAAAAGTGGAAGGTGAAAGAACACATTACGTGGGGAAATAGAAGCGGATATGAGAAGGATGAATAAGAACTGTTAAGAGGTGGAAAGGATTGCTTGGGACAGGGTTGGATGGAGACTGCTGGTGAGTGGAGTATGCTCCTTCACGAGGAGTAACAATCATAAGTAAGTAAGTAAGTAAGTAAGTAAGATATAATCACTTAAAACTAGTAGGTCAGATGTATTTTGTTGTTGTTGTTATTGATAAGGTAAACAAATACTGTTTACTTAAATCCTAATAAATATGAGATTAAGATTTTTCTGAATTAACTGATCAGTAATCTTTTCGTTCTCGACAATCACTACTTAAAAGTTAGAAACATATTGTATGAATACAATTTATATATATGGTCAGATCAAAATATGATATTGAATATTTATATTCAAATAGTAAGTTGTCATACTTCTATGTAGTTGGTTAATATCACTTAAATTTTATTGTCAACATATGTATAAGAAAACATGTTAGTCTAATGCATATTATCATCATTTATTTCTATAAACTTTCTGTTATATCTTGTGACCCGACGATTAGAG